GGTTGACCCAGTTCTCTTTTATTCTTGTTTAGACTAAATAAGTTCCTTATTATTATAGTTTGACCCCTCAAATTGTGATTATTACACTTGAACCACTGGTTTGGCTATTTTGTTTGATTGCACTTGAACCTCTCAATTTTCTGGTTACTATAATGCCTCAAGCTTCTGATGAGTGTGCCTTTTGCCATCAGAGAGGTCATTGGAAGTATCATTGTCCCAAGAAGGGATGTCTGTCTACTTCACCTGTGTCTACCTCGTCTTCTCAGCAGTTTCTGATCAAGTTCTGCCCTCCTACTCTGAGTACCATTCGACCTCCCGTCGGTTCTACTGCATCTGCTCTGATTCCTGATCCTGGCTTGGCTTCCTTGACTGCTCAAATTAGTCAGCTTCAGCATACACTGATTAGTCAGTTTCAGCATATATTGTCTACCTCCCAACCATCCCCGTTTGCCTCCATTGTATTCTCTCTTCATTCAGGTTTGCTTGAGTCTTCTTTAAGTATCTCTTCGTCTGTTTGGATTTTTGACTCTAGTGCCTCTCATCATATAACTCCTCATCTCTCCTTACTTCAAAATTGTACTCCTCTTCCCATTCCTATTACTGTAAATGATGTTAATAGGTCTGGTATGTCTATTATATCTGTTGGGTCTGTCCTACCGTCTGCTATGTCTGTTGTCTCTATTCCATCTACCTTATATGTTCCTCAGTTATCTGTTAGTTTACTATCTATCAGTCAGCTTGATGCCTCTGGTTTTGATGTTATCTTTTCTTGTTCTATCTATTCTATGCAGAATCGGATCTCTAAGCAGCAGATTGGGACCGGTCGTAGAGTTAGAGACCTCTATGTGGTGGAGAGCTTGCATCTGCCTATAGTAACCTCTCAGACTGCCTTTTTCTCTTTTCAGTCGGATTCTCTGTCTAGTCCTCTCTACTTGTGGCATTCTAGATTAGGGCATTTGTATACTGATCGCTTACGGTCTTCAGCTCAGTCTAGTATATTAGGTAAAGTTTCTCCCAGTGAACTTACTGAATATCGGGGGTGTAAACTTGCCAAAATGACAGCCTTACCTTTTCATAAAAGTACTTCTATATCTGATACACCATTTTCTTTAGTTCATACTGATGTTTGAGGCCCTTCTCCTGTTCTCACCAAAGGGGGTTCCGCATACTATGCGTCTTTTATTGATGACTACACCCGTTACACTTGGGTTTATCTTATGACTCATAAGTCTGACTTCTACCCGATATACCGTATTTTCCAGTCTATGGTCACTATACAATTTGGGTTTACTATTAAATTGTTGCGGTCTGACTTGGGTGGGAAATACTTTAAAACTGAATTCTGTGAATACTTGGCCAAATTGAGTACTATTCACCAAACTTCTTATACTGATACACCTACCCAAAATGGTCAAGCTGAGCATAAACACCATCATCTTCTTGAGACTCTGACTTCTACCCGATATACCGTATTTTCCAGTCTATGGTCACTATACAATTTGGGTTTACTATTAAATTGTTGCGGTCTGACTTGGGTGGGAAATACTTTAAAACTGAATTCTGTGAATACTTGGCCAAATTGAGTACTATTCACCAAACTTCTTGTACTGATACACCTACCCAAAATGGTCAAGCTGAGCATAAAGGGGGTGTTTGGTGCAGCTTTTTTAAGCCAACTTATGGCTTCTGGCTTTTAAAAAGTTATTTTGGACTGTTTGGTTAAACTTATTTCAAACAGCTTCTGATTCTAACAACTTATTTTAAGTCAAAAAAGCTGATTCTGAGAAGCTGCTCACCCCTTGCTTCTGATTATCAGCTTCTGCTGTGGACATGTTAATTCACGGTTATACTCTTAGATTTTTTTTTTTTTTTTTTTTTTTAAAATAGAAAAAGACTCAAATGGACTATTAAATATTATTATTATTTTTTATGAAAAATGTAGACAAATAGTGAATAATAAAAAATAAAAATTAATTGAAAAAGCTACTTCACAGCTTATTTAACAAACACTACTCAGCAACTTAAATCTATAATCCAACAGCTATACCAAACAGATTAACCGCTTCTGATTAAAATCATAATCTATAATCTGTTAAGCTATAATCTATAATCTGTTTTAACAGCTACACCAAACACCACCAAACACCATCATCTTCTTGAGACAACTAGATCTCTCCTCTCTGCCTCCGTTCCGGCTCCGTTTTGGGGTGAGGCAGTTCTTACTGCCGCTTTTCTTCTCAACCGTATGCCTACCCCCCTTCTTTCTGGTCAATCTCCTTATGAGGCTCTGTTTTCCCAACTTCTTAATTACTCCCTCCTTCGTGTGTTTGGGTCTGCTTGTTTTGTCCTTTTACCCCATAAAGATAGGACCAAACTTAGTATCCGATCTGTCCTATGTGTCTTTTTGGGTTATAGTCTCACTCGGAAAGGTTATCGTTGTTATAACCCTATTTCCAGTCGCCTTGATGTCTCCGGCCATGTTGCCTTTCTTGAACGTCTACCTTACTTTCAGCTTTCTCCTCTCACCGCCCCAATTTCCAAAGAGGATTTGGTTCATATTGATCCATTTTCTTCTGAGATCCCGTCTTATGAATACATCTCCACTGTTCCTCCTAAGCTTCTTCTATCTTCTCCTCTTGCTTCACCTCTAGTTGCTTCTCTTTCTTCGGCTTCTTCTTTTCCTCTGTTGTTAGTATATTCTCGTCGCAAGGCTCCTCCCCTCTACCAGTTGTCTCCACCCCTGCTGCTGATTCTCCTACTTCTGACGACTCTGATCCTGCTGCACACCGATATCCTACTCGTTAGCGTCGTCCTCCAAACAGGTTGGGTTGGTCTAATACATGTTTTTCTGCTTCCTATCGTACTTTTTTGTCTGTTATTCATTCTTTTTCAGAACCTCAATCATACATAGAGGCCTGTCAGGATCTTAATTGGGTTCAAGCTATGGAGAATGAGTTATTTGCCTTGCAGAAGACTAACATTTGGGAGTTGATTCCTTTGCCTGTTGGCAAGAATCTGGTTGGTTGCAAATGGGTCTATAACGTCAAGGCTCATTCTGATGGTTCTCTCGAGCGATACAAAGCTCGCTTGGTTGCTAAGGATTTTTCGCAGGAGTATGGTTTTGATTATAAGGAGACATTTTCCCCTGTCGCCAAGATGACTACTGTCCTACCTTGATTTCTGTTGCTGCTATTCGAAATTGGCCTCTCTAGATGGACGTTAAGAAGGCGCTTTTCGTAACGGTCATCTCACTGAGGAGGTCTACATGCGTCCTCCCCCTGGCCTTCTCCACTCCTCTGGGCAAGTTTGCCATCTTCGGCGTGCTCTGTATGGTTTGAAACAATCTCCTCGTGCTTGGTATGATCGCTTTCAGACTGCTGTTACCAGGCTTGGGTTTCATCCTTCTGCTTCCAACTCTAATTTGTTTCTGAGACATACCTCAGCTGGTTTTGTTACTCTCTTACTCTATGTGGATGATATGGTCATCACTGGCTCTGACTCTTCTGCTATCTCTCATGTCAAACGTCTCTTCCGCACCTTCGAAATAAATGATTTGGGTCCATTACGGTATTTTCTTGGTATTGAAGTTGCCTCTTCTCCAAAGGGCTATTTTCTGTCTCAAGTCAAGTATGCTAATGAGGTTATTCACCATGCCGGTCTTACTGATACTAAGGTTTCTGATACCCCTATTGAGCTTAATGTGAAGCTCAACTCTACTGATGGTGTCCCTCTGTATGATCCCACTTTCTCTCACGAGCTTGTAGGTTGTTTAGTTTATTTGACTGTCACTCGCCCTGATCTTGCTTATATTGTTCATGTGGTTAGTCAGTACGTTTCTGTTCCTCGCTCTACCCATTGGGCTGCTTTGGTTCGCATTCTTCGCTATCTCCGGGGTACCATCTTTCAGGGCATACTATTGTCCTCTACTTCCTCTTTAGACTTGGTGGCCTATAATGATTCCGATTGGGCTGGTGATGTTAATGATCGCAAGTCCACCTCTGATTTTTGTATGTTTCTTGGCGATTCCTTGATCTCTTGAAAAAGCAAGAAACAACCTATTGTTGCTCGCTCTACTGCCGAAGCTGAGTACCGTACTATGGCTCATATTACTGCTAAGCTTGTTTAGCTTCGTTGTCTTCTCTCTGATTTGGGTGTACCTCAGTCTTCTCCGACCTCTCTCTATTGTGACAACCGCAGTGTTATTCAGATTGCCCACAATACTGTCTTCCATGAATGGCCGAAACACATTGAGATTGATTGTCACTTTGTTCGACAGCATCTGCAGTCTGGCTCTATCTCGCTTCCTTTCGTCTCCTCGGCTTTGCAACTTGTGGACTTCTTCACCAAGACTCACATTACCGCTCGGTTTCGGTTTTGGTTTCGGTTTCGGTTTCGGTTTCTTCTTAGCAAACTCTCAATATTTTCTGTTAAAACACCTTCAATTTGAGCAGGGGTGTGAGAATATACTGTATATATGGCATGTTGTGTATATATGGCATGATTATGTAAATAAGAATTAGTTAGTATTTCCTTTTTCAGTCATAGATTTTAGACTATATAAACTGATGAACTCTTTGTAAATTTACACAATGAAATATACAGATTCTTCGGAAAACTTATAGAGCCAAAGGGATTAAAGTGGAGCCGAAAAAAAGAAACGTAAATAGTTTATGTGCACTCTATTTTGCCCAAATGGAACCAAAAAAAACAAAACTAAATATTTTCACAATATACTGAAATGCACATGATAATCTACTAACCATGAGCCAATATGAAATCAACATGGAGATGACTTAACAAGAAAAATTATACAGATTAGAAATTTCTCAACACATGATGCATTACTACAATAAAAACCTTCAAGCTACAACTTCAGAACTAGGGAACAGGTGAAATAAAATAACAAATACATGTCAAAGAGGAGACTCTCACTTTTTACTAACTATAAGTAAAATTCGTAATTAATAATGGCGCATGCAATCACAAGACAACAATCTTACATGTGAAGTTCTGATCTTCAACTGCAGCTGATCGTGTAAATGCTGCAATAAATTCAATAAAAGGTAAGCCTCATTTAGAAGAAATTTATTCGGTAAAATGGAAAAGTATTCCTAATGAAGCAGTGTTTGACTTATTTACAGGCCTAATTAACCATGCGAAGTATATTGGTAAGTTCATCAAGCATGGCTCAATTATTTTTAGAAGCTCTAAATGGGACTAAAGTTGACCAATATATTTCTAGTACAATCTAAATAAGCATAGTGTAGATTCGAACTTACGAAGCCAGAAATGTCTTGAAAAATCACAAGCTCCGAATTGGGCAAGTATAACCTCAATTGACCTTTAAGTTGAGTGGAGCTCAAATAGCTGAGTTTCCCTTTCAAGCCTACTCCATACACCACCATCAACATCTATAATAGGCTAAACAACATAATCATACCACCATCACCACTAACTCCACCACCAAAGGAGTTATCTCCGTTGTTGTTGTCACCACCGCCTGATGTAAGTGGGGGGACCACTCTCCTACAGGCAGGGAGCCCACAAATTTTTTTGGGTAGAAACAAAAGAGGTTGTTTTAGGGCTAGTTTTAATTGATTTAGAATATAGGGATTTTAAGGTTTGAAAAGGTGTAACAAAGTGCTAGCATTGTGGGTTGCAACCAAGAAAGAATAGAATGAGTATTGGGGTTCCAAGGGCTCTGATGTGAACTTTCCAAATAGACTTTAGAGATTGCATACCCCATCTCAAACTTGAATTCCAAAATAGGAAACTAGACTTTTCAGAAACTTGATTTGATTTCCAAAACCCATCTAATCTTGAACCCAAATAACTCCCATAATTAAAGACGAACTACGTAAATCAACCTCAACTTTTATTAAACACCCTTCAACCCAAAGTTCACCCAAATAACACCCATAATTAAAGACCAACTAAGTAGATCGACCTCCACTTTTGTTAAACACCCTTAAACCCAAAGTTCAAAGACTACCCATCTCTCTCAGATGATAATTTACTACTGCTATAATTTTGGTAATGATCTGTCCACCCGACCTTCACAATGACCAAAAGAACTTTTACTTCAGGTTAAGTCCACCCATTACCTTATGTATATTTCTTCCAGAAGAGATTTATTTATTTGTTCATCATTTTTTTAAAGATGATTCCATGCCATCAGTCTTTTTTTGTTTGATGTAAGTACACAACATGCGCACAGCAGTAAATGCATTGAGATGTTTTTCTCTTTTTCTTTTAGGTCCCATCTAAGTAATTAATTTCTCTCTTCCACACAAAAATTTAACGGTTAGCTTTCTTCCAATACAATACAAACAGAAAATTTCTTCTGGCAGATTCATAAAAATTTTAAATAAAGTACAATTCATCGACTATTTTAGTTATATTTTGGACAACTCAATTTCTTGCGTACTACTTCACGATGTTTTGGCTAGATATCACAAAATTTATAATATCATCTTCAATCTTTCAATCCATTATGAGCATGTTTCTAACATCGAAGTTTCAAAGTTACATAGCTAAATTTTATTTCATAAATTGAAATAATAAATAAATAAAAAGTTGAGCTTTTTCCATACCATAAGTGTTTTTCCTTAATGAATTTCTAAAACAGCTTTCCAAATATGGTTCATTAATCACTACTGCTATACTTGAAAGGGTAAAATAAAAAATATTAAAAAATAAATAAATAAAGGAAAAATTAATGAAAGCACAAAAAAGAGAGAGATTCGGAACTGTATATGGTATTGATCCATACTCATCAAATTTCTATCTTCTTAATTTTTTATTTTTTTTTTTTCATTTGGAACGGATGTAGTTAGGAGTCAGCTGCAATCCAAGACCCTTTTTTTTCATAAAAATGGTATTTTTTTTAATTTTTTTCGTTCTTTACTTGTATTTTCCTCTAGAGAGGGATTTGGTTTGATTCCAACTTATAAGTTCATCTAGTTTCCCTCTTTGATAAACAATTTTTTTTTTTCTAATTATGCCAGTCAAATGCGATGCATAACCAGCAAAGTAATATGATATTCTAGCAACCAATATGAATATATGCATCCAGAAAAACTCTATAGATTGGTACATAACAAATATGTCATTGTCATGTGCAAATGCATAAGTAACTCGATATTAATCATGTATATGCATATATTTATCACCAAAAAAAAATAATGTATATGCATATATTTTCGCGTATATGTGTGATTTATATGTCATACAAGTGATAGAAGAACTAAAACAAAACAAAAAATTAGAACCAAAGCATATAATAAATATTTGGAAACCATCAGATCAATTGACATTCTCAACGTTGAGCACAGGTCAGTGTAGCATATTTCTTTAGGGTAGCAATGCAGCAAATCCAAAAGCATGCTTCATATTATGGGATTGTGTGATCCACAAGCCACAGTGTTGGTCTGTAAAATATTTCCCACATACTTATGGAGTTCATACCTTCACACTGCTGGAAAGAGAAGAAGCATTTATAACATGAGGCCAAATGGCATAGTCAGCCAATAACCCTGACATCGATGACGTGAAGATACATCTTTCTTCCTCTGTAGCCTGAGTCAAAAGAAAAACAGTCAAAGATACAATATTTGGAAAGCATCTTAAAAGCTTAAAAAGCTCAGAGTTTAATCAGAGTACTTCAAGATGTTATAAACAAAAAAGCAAAGAACTAAAAAGAAATAAATAAATAAGTACAATTATTCATTTTTTTAAAGCAGAAAATAGGCCAATAAACACAATACCTGTTGGAATATGGGAATCCCATATATTCTGTGATTACAGGATTTTAGGCATATTTTCTTATATTTGATTTTATTGTTATTCTACCTTCCTAAATTGTAACCTCCACAATTCAATACACATATACAAGGCTAATGATACATTGTGATTAAGCCATTCAATTATATTCTTCTTCGTGGTATCAGAGCCAAACCCTAGCCACCCACCACCTTTCTCTTCTGTTTCTGGCAGCCCTAAACCACCTACCCAGCCACCTAAATCACCTACCCAACCACCCGACAGCCCTTCTTCTTCCCTCTACCCAGCCAAAAGCCCTTCTTCTTTCTCAACCCCGACAGCCCTTCCTCTTCCTTCCCATCCCCTCAGCAGTCCCTCTTCTTCATTTTCGCAGCTTCCTTAGGTGCCGACTAGACCATAAATACCTTGGGTCTAGTGCGGCTTCCCCTCCAGGGTGTTTTTCTTCTCTCTTTACCCTTCTAGGGTTTGTGTGTTCATGTGGTAAGTACTTTCTAAATTGTTTTTCTGTTGTGTTGGGCTACTGGTGTGTTAGGTAGCATTTATAATATGCCTTTTTTCTTTTTTTTTTCCCCCGGCCTTTGCTTGTGAATTTGTTGGTTGTTTGCTTCGCTATGACTATTTTCATGATTGACTCCACCATTTCTAGTGGGACTGATGCACCTCTTATTCTTGGTAAACTGATTGGGTTTGATTTTTCCCTCTCTCAACAAGCTCCAGCTCATCGTATTACGAGTCTCCTGTTGAATGGAAAGAATATTGCTGCATGAAGTCATTCCCTCAAATTGTATTTACGGGGCAAAGGCAAGTCTCATTGGCTCCTTATGATTGAAACCCAACCTCCTGATGATGATCTTAAGCGTAGGCAGTGGGATATTGATAAGTGTATTATCTTGGGCTGGATGTTTAACTCTATGGAAGATTGGATTTATCACATGTTCATGTATTGTGACACAGTTCCTCATCTATGGAAGGCTCTTACTCAGATGTATGCTCATGCTCACAATGATGCTCACAGTTCCTCCTATTGTCGTTCCTAGTGTGGTCCAAACTAAACCCATTCTGGTTGGTTTAGGTTTTTCCCCCTCTCATCAAACTCCTATTTATTTTATTACAAGTATGGTGTTGAATGGGAAAAATTTTGCTTCTTGGAGTCATTTTAAACTCTATTTAGGGGGGAAAAGAGAAGGCTCATTCGCTTTCGTCTACCACTATTCAACCAAATTATACAGATCTTACGCATAGTTAGTGGGATATTGACAATTGCATTATCTTGGGTTGGATATTCAACTCCATGGAGGACCAAATTTATCACATGTTTCTGTATGCTCATAATGATGTTTGTATCTTTGAGCTCTACCAGGATATAGCTCGCGCTTGTTAGTCTGCTTTGTGTCTCTGTGGCAAAATTTTTTAGGTATCTTCAGGCCTGTTGGCAGGAATTAGCTCAATATGAGCCTTTGACTAATATTCCGATAGAAGCCGCTTCTCTTGTGACCAAGCGACTTTCTCACCAGCATACTTTGAATTTGAATCTCTTCGAATTCAGATTTTAAAAACATCCCCTATGCCATCTCTCTATTGGGCATTTGCTACATTGACAGTGATGAGCTACGTTACACGAAATCGGGTGTGGGTATCGGGTGCCGGTGTGTATCTGGGGGTCGGACACTTCAAAACTAAAAATTGAGGATACGTGAATATGGATCCAAATGTGGATATAGGTACGGAGATTTGTTAAATAATTATTTTTAAAATATATTTATTATATAAATATGAGATAAATAGTTATTTTTTAAATATATTTATTATTTTTTATCTTATGTATTATTTTTATTGATAATATTTTTAATAATTTATCTATATAATTTATTTTTTTTATTTTTAATTGACATATATATGTTATAAATAAAAAATTATAATAAATAAGGAATAATAAATTATGTTAAAATAAATAAATAAATAAATAAAAATTAGATATTTTATTTTATATATTTTTTTATTATATATGATTTAATTAGATTTCTTTTAAACAATTAGATGATTTATTTTATCTATTATGTGTTAAAAAGTTAAGAAATAATAAATTCTGTTAAAAAATAAAAAAGAAATAACAAATAAAAATTATATTAGCCATAAAATAAATTATATTATATATGATAAAATAAATAATTTTTATTTTAGGCATAAAAATTATATTATTTATAATAAATTATATCATATAAAACAAATTATATAAACACACACACACACAGATCAGAATAGAGAACAGAGATAGACGAAGAAAGAGAGAAGCACAGAGATGAAGAGGAGATCGAGAGTGAGAAAAGAGAGAGACGAAGACGATCGAGATCAACAATGAGAGAAGAGTGTGACGAAGACAATCGAAGCGCTGAGAGACAAAGAAGATCGAGATCAACAGTGAGAGAAAAGAGTAACGAAGATGATCGAAACCCTAATCTCAGCCCTAATCGCAGCCTCACGGGTATGCCATTGTATCCACTTTCTCTATGCCGTATCCTGGCCGGATTCCGCACCCATACCCGTGTCGTGTCATGTCGTATTGACACAGGTACTTCACCAAATCTAGCGAGTCCATGTAACGTAGGTGATGAGCGATGTGGGCAATTGGTTCAACTTATCTCTCCTCCAGTCCCTCTAGTATTATCTGATCAGATGGCACTTGCAGCGAGTTCTGGTTCTCGTGGCTTTACTGGTTCGATTACTTGCCATCATTGTGGTGCACCTACGCATGTCAAGGTCCGCTACTTCAAACTTCATCCTGAGTTAAGGCAACAATCCTCTCGCACCCATGGCACTGGCGCTCCTCGCACTGCTACCCTCATAGAGACCACCCCTACTACTGGGTCTCCTAGTATTCCTCATTTACAATAGCTACAAACCCAGATTGGTCAACTCCAAGAATAGCTTGGATCTTTCACCACTCGTTCTAAGGGCCTATCATCATCCTCTGCTGCCACTCTTGTTACAAGTACTGCTACTGCTTTCCATGTTCGGTCAGATAAACCCTCATGGATTTTGAATTCCGGGGCTAATAATCATATAACGGATGAGTTTTCCTTCCCTTCACCTCCCGTACCTACTACTGGCGCCCAATCTGTTTGTCTTGCTAATGGTTCTTCATCATTTGTACGTTATAAGGGTGTTGTTTCTTTATCTCCAGATATTTCTCTATCTTTTGTTTTGCAAGTTCCTAATTTTGCCTATAACCTTTTATCTGTTAGTCGCCTTGCCAAAACTTTTAATTGTGCTATCATATTCTTACCCACTTCCTATCTTTTATAGGACTTGAGTTCGAAGAGGATTTTTGGCAGGAGCTATGAACGTAATGGGCTTTACTACTTTGGGGACCGACCTTTTTCATCTACTTGAAATAGTTTCCAAGCATCTGTTTTGTCTACTTCAGTATCTTATGTTTTTTCAGTTCTAACTTTAGAATTATGGCACGCCCGTATGGGTCATGTCAATTTTCAATATTTATGTTTACTCTTTCCATTATTAAATTAAACTTGTAAGGATTCTAAGTTTCATTGTGTGGTTTGTGAGTTGTCTGAATATACTCGTACCAGTTATATACCTCACATGACTCATGCCCCTAGTGCTTTTGACCTCATTCATTCTGATATTTGGGGTCCTTCTTCTATCCATGCTTTCTCTGACCATATATATTATGTAACTTTTATTGATGACCACACTAAATGCACTTGGGTTTATGTTCTTCGGCGTAAGTCTAATGTATTTCCTATATTGTTCATTTTTACAAATGGTTAAAACTCTGTTTCGTACAATTGTTCGCAATATCCGCTTCGATAATGGTGGGGAATACATTTGAAATACTTTTCATTCCCATCTTAATTAGACCGGTATTCTTCACCAACTTAAGTGTCCTTGTACCCCTAAGCAAAATGGTGTCACTGAACGAAAAAAACCCCATATTATGTTTTATCAACATGTTTGTTATGCAGTGTCTCCTTCGGGATATGAGTGTTCCCAAGTCATATTGGCATATGATTGTCCTTACTGTTGTCTACCTTATTAATTGAACCCCGAGTCGTGTTTTGCAAGGTCTTACTCTGTTTCATGTTCTTATGCCTACCACCACTATGTTTCCTCTCATACCACAAGTCTTTGGGTGTACTTGTTTTCACCAAGATCGAAGTCCCAATCGGACTAAGTTAGATGACAAGTCCATTCAGTGTGTCTTCTTAGGGTATTCATCAATGTCCAAAGGTTATAGGTGTTTTGACCCCGTGTCTGGTCACTTTCATCACACTTTGGATGTTACCTTTTGTGAGAATCTCCCATTTTTTGGTACTAACTCCTCTTTGCAGGCTTCCCTCCAATTGATTCCAGTGCCCGACCTATTCTTATTTTGGATGAGGATTCCAGTGCCCGACCTATTCTTATTTTGGATGAGGCTGCGGATGAGCAGCATATCATTCTCCATATTTGGAGTTCCTCAGGTTATCCCCCACTATCTAATTTAGTTGCTTGATTACAGGTCTACTCTTGTTGCCCTCACTCTTAGATGCCTTTTGCCTCCCCTCCAATCCGAGGGTCAACTAAGTCTTCTTGTTTAGATTCTACCACTCCACCTCCTCGCCATAACCCACCTTAAAATCGGCATCCTCATGACTGTTAGGGTTATTTTAGTAATACTAATCATCCCATTTTCTAATATCTTTCTTATGACAAAGTTTCAGATTCCTATCGCTCTTTCTTTAGAAAGCTGTCAAATTCTATTCATTGTTCTATGTCAAAGGCCCTTCAGAATCCCATATAAGTAGTGGCTATGCAGGCTAAGATGGCAACTTTAGACCAAAATCACATCTGGAATCTTATCTCTTTACCATCTAGGGAGAGCAATATTGGCTGCACATGGGTGTTCACAATTAAGTATCTAGCAAATAGCTCTGTTGACCACAACAAAGCGCAGCTGGTTGCACAAGGATTCACACAAGGTCCTGACAAGGATTTTGGAGCCACTTTTGCGCCTGTTGCCAAACTTACTTCTGTCCATCTACTTATCTCTCTTGCAGCTTCTCATTCTTGGCCTCTTCATCAACTTGATGTCAAGAATGCAATTCTTCATGGGGACCTTCTTGAGACAATTTACATAGCTCCTCCACTTGATTTTTGGGTTGAAGGGGAGTATTCGGGGAAAGTTTGTCGTTTACACAAGTCTTTATATGGTCTGAAACAATCTTATAGAGCATGGTTGGTCGCTTTAGCTCAGTCATCCTATCCATACAGTTTGTTCAGTGTCATTCAGATCATACTTACTTCATCATCCACAATTCTCCAGGTCAGTGTATTGTTCTGCTCGTTTATGTGGATGATATCATACTCACAGGAGATAATTTCATTGGGATCGATCAGGTAAAGAAGAAGTTAGGCAGAGTATTTGATATCAAGGATCTGGGGTCTCTCAAATACTTTCTGGGGATTGAGGTTGATCGCTCTTGTCAAGGGATTTCCTTGTCTCAGAGGAAGTACACTGTTAATTTGCTTTAGAATCCTGGTATGTTAGGTTGCAAACCTGCCTCTACTCCCATAGATCCTAATATCAACCTTACATTAGAGTCTAGCGAGTTATTAGGAGAGCGTCTTGTTGGTCGTCTCATTTATTTGATCAACACTAGACCTGACTTGACATTTGCGATTATTGTTGTGAGTCAATTTATGCATGCACCTCGTACAAAGCATTTTGACGTTGTTCACCATATTTTGCAGTATCTAAAGACTTCTCCTGGTTTGGGACTGTTCTTCACAACTGGTTCTCAATCCGAGTTCTCCTGTTTCATTGATGTTGACTATGCAAGATCTAAACTGATCAACATTCCACTTTTAGTTTCTGTACTTTCTATGATGATCATCTTATATCGTTTTAAAGTAAAAAACAAGCGGTTGTTTCTAAATCCTTTGTAGAAGTTGAGTATCGAGTTATGGCATAGGGTTCATGTGAGATTCTATGGCTTTGATCTATTCTTGCAGAGTCGGGATTTGAAAAGGCTGCAGCTTCCTCCATCCTTCGTGACAACAAATCAGTAATTATGCTATCCTCTGATTTAGTGCTTCAGGAGCATACTAAACACATCGAGGTTGATATACATTCATTAGAGAAAATGTTCGGACTGGTATTGTGAGTCCATCATTTGTCTCTTCTTCTGAGTAGTTAGCTGACATGTTCACAAAGCCTATGGGTCCAACATTACTCCAGTCTTCTGTTGCCAAACTGCGTTTGTTAAATGTCTTCACACCAACTTAAGGAGGAGTGTTGGAATTAGAAATTCAGAATATTGAATTTATATTGGTTTGTATAAAATCCGTGATTGTACAAATCACGGAATTAGTGCCTTGATTATTTTATTTCCTAATTTGTAATATTGATTCAATATATATACATACATGGTCTTGCCTCATTCAAGGGTAAGCCATTCCATTCTTTCATTCTATTAAGGGAAGACCTAAAATGACATAGTATACACTAGTAAAAAATCATATGAATTTATTTAATTTAAACTAAGCTTATAACCCTTGATAGAGAAGAATGGCAAAATAGGATTCATGTGGCTGACCCCACTTGATTGGGATACAAAACTTAGTGTGGTTTTGTAATCACCTACTATTGCATTGTGAGGTAGCTAAGCATCATCAGACAGCATATCATTCTCCATATTTGGAGTTCCTCAGGTTATCCCCCACTATCTAATTTAGTTGCTTGATTGGTGACCCAAAAGCTATCCTAGCAGCAAGTCCAGACAAAGCTTGGATGGTGGTGCCCTCGTGCCTTATATAGAGTATTTAGAAACAAAGAAATAGGCAGAATTCTAAAGATGCAGAAATCAAAGTTAGAAGATTTTAAACAGTGTCATGCTGAAAATTCATTTTGGCTTGAAAGGAAAACTTTGTACTCTGAAACATTAATATTGCTTTGATAAGTAATTGCAATAATTAATGCATACTCAGAACCCAATCAGCTCCAATATACAATATCAGAATCCTATAGTATGTAAAAGTACAATACATAGACACTAGAAAGTTGTATAACTATGCACAATGTAGACTATGAGGAAAATAAATCTACCAAAGATGACATTCAACTCTCCATACCATCTTCTAAATCTGATTTATGTTTCCAAACACACCAAATGATTGAGAAAGAAGAGTTTCTACATTTAGTGCTATTGTGGGCTAATTTTTTGTAATTAAGTCAGACCATGAGGACAAGGCTCATTGGGAGGCTCACTCCAACCTATAATATTACAATTCAAACAAGAGAATTATTTAAGTGGTAAAAAAAAGGCAAATGCAGGGGACTGGAAATTATAATTTACCTTCAACTCATAAGCCAATTTTAGATTTTCTTCCAGATGGCCTTTTCTGCTAGCCAGTTCGTTTGAATCAGAATTTATGGCTTCATTTCGCTTGTCATCTATAGCCTATTACTCAAGTTAATGTTATTTGAGATTCAATAACATGCAAAGAAAGGTTAAAATCCATCAAATAGACTCCTTGAAACCAGCAATAGAAAAGCTAATTAATTTCATGAAATAGACAAACCAGTCGTAATTCAGCTAATTTCCTTTCCAGATCATATTTCTCATTCAACAGTTGCAGTTCCTGATAAAATAGAGATGATAGCATAGTTTTGCAAGTGAGATAAAAGCACATGACTATTGTTAATCAGAAGGCATGATAGTAAATGCCTGATAGGAAATGATATACCTTGACACAGGCAACAGCAATTTGTTTACGAAGAAAAAGTATTTCCTCCTGTTGTGCTGTGGCCCGTGAGTAAAGTTCCTATACACAAAATTGAAATAGAAAATAAGTAACCACACCAGCATCTATTATAAGTTTTGAGTTATTCTCCGACATGGTGATGTAAAATACTAGTACCATAGCCTCTGGGTCATGAAAATTGTTGAGTGTACTGTTGCCCCTCAAATTTCTTGAAACAGAATTTGTTTCAGAATTATGCCTACCAAATAAAAAGATGTTGCATTAAGATCAATAACCTGTCCTATAATTTATCACTTATCCTCAAAGAATTCAGATGCAAGGCTTTGTGAGTTGAGAAATTTTAATGGCTCACATCTTAGAAAATTGAAATTAAAAACACAAATTTATACATAACACATTCTTACCAATGATCAAGGGATTACCTGCTTGAAAAATCAGACCCATGTGTCTGAACCCCATCATTGTGATGCCCATTCATAGAGCTGTTATTGGAAGTCATTGCATTGATAGTTTCTCTTGAAAACAAAGTTAATTGCATTACAACTATATAGCTCCATTATCACAGGGTGAATCGAACATTTCACCTTCTATTACCATAATCAATATTGTTCCACATGACCATGATTCCTAGCCCCAGATACTGCTTGCAAGCGGTAATAACTGCCTACTTCAAGTAAGTAACCAAGACATAAATTAAAAGACAAATAGATGAGAAAAATACCATGACCAAGTCGAAGATGGATTACTGAAATTCAGGTGAAATGTCAAGTCTTTTACTGAGGCAGATTCTAAAAGGAAAAATGAGGGTGGTGGGCCAAAAAAAGGGAAGCATCCACCTCCAAGAAAGCGAATAATAAATCAAGAGAATATAAATGAGTCAACTCATTTAACAAAAATGCTGCTATTGTTGCTTCTTTTTTCTTTTTTTAACATTTGAAACACTGTTCCAGCCATCCCCCTTCTCTAGTTCATTTTATTTAGAGATCAACCTCTATCCATGACATAAATTTAGATCCCTAGAGTGGTCTTATTATGTTGGTGTGTCATGATGACCCCTAACCCACATGGAGGGGGCACTTTGCATGAGTCTCAGGATTGGGGGGTTTACCCAGATACCCAATTATCAAAAAATAAATTAATAAGCAACCAATTCACTGGCCACAGGCCAACCTGTTCATATTGACCTCATGCTAAGGATGAACTCAATATGAGACTTATGAGCAATGTAACAAAAAACATTTCCTGTGAACATTTAATTAAACATGAACAAAAATTTCACTTGACAAATGCAATGAAAAGGAGTAAAGCATAATTGTTAAATCAGGATACAAATCGTGTATCATATTGCATCGTGTTACATAAGTTTTTTTAACATCTTAAAATCATTATATGCACTTTAACATACACTACACAGTAGCAAAAAGTCCCAAGAAGCAGAGAAACAAATCTCATCATAGCTTTATAAAGAGTGACCAAACCACACACAACATCAGAGAAAGAGTCGCGCAATGATCAAAAGTTCATCAACTTTACAGACCACACATATTTACTTCTTTTGCATATAATAAATGCCACAATAAGTTTTTGACTATGAATAGAAATCTATGCAAGTGATTACATTCTAATCTTGAAAGACAATTCAAGAAATCAACCCAAGATAGATATACTAAATCAAACAGACCTTCAAAACAGCTCAAAAAACAAATAAACATATAATTAAAAACAGAAGAGAGAAAAATGAAGCAAACCCACTTAAGGTTCAAGAAAGTGACACCCAAGTAACTAACTAAACTTTGTGTCTGGCCAAAAACAAAAATGGAAATACGAATGAATTCAACAGAATTAAAACCCAATTCGGGAAATTGGGTCATAGATTAATAAAAAAATATATCAAAAAAAAATAAGTGACCAAAACAAGAAATCACTCAACAGAAATGGAATTAAAAAACAAAACCCAACAAATTCAAACAGAGATATACATGATGTGTAAGAGTGTAGAGGTGTATGATACCCAATTGAGGAAAACAAGAATGCCAGATCCGTCAATTGAAGGAGGATGAAGCTAGAGAGAGAAAATGAAAGGTGTAGAGAGAGAGAAAGAAAGAAGGAAAGGCCGGCGGAGGAGAGGACCTCATACACACAAGTCAAAATGCGGGGTCGTTGTTGTTTTTGTTCATATAGTAACACCATAAAAAGGGTCGGATCGAAACTAGACAGAGAGAGAGAGAGAGAGAGAGTTGTGTGAAAGCAAAGACAGTTGTTTTCAGAGATTGTTTTGGTTAAAAAGGAAAGGTAAAAGAAAGAGTTGTGAGGTGGGATTCTCGTAATTTAGGAAGTCCTCAGGCACTTTCCTTGTTTAGTCATTTGTTTGGATTTGGATGAAGTATTAATTAGCTTCTTTTTTTTTTCTTTTTTTATCCTAGTTAATTTTTTAATATTTTTTAAAAAAATTATTTTTAAATATACTTTAAATATAATTAAAAAATATAATATATTAAAAAATATAATATTTATGAAACTTTTAAAAAAAATTCATGAAATATTAAAAATATATTAAAAAAATGAAAATTCATTATATTTTCATATTCTTATATATTTATTGATTTTATAAAATAATTTTTTACTAATATTTTACTTTTTAAATATATCTAGGTTAGGTTCATCTAAAAATTAAAAAAAAATTACTTAAAATATTTTTAAAAATCAATAAAAATATAAAAAACAAAAAAAAAACTTAATTTTTAAAAAATTAAATTCAAAAAATTCGAACCACAAAAAGTGAATAGCAATATGGAATAGTGCCATGGATTTGAGAAAAAAAACGTTTGGAAATGATCATCATGTGCACTCCAAAAATGGAATATATGCACCCTAGTTACCATCTTTATATTTTTTATAATGACCTATTATATTATTCGTTATGACTTATTATGATATTGATTATGATATTATTTTAATTATGATCTAAAAGTTATTTATTATAATTTTTGTAATGTTTAGTTATAACTTCCTCTTTTTTATAGTTATGACTCTTGTAACATTAATTTATGTCATTTGTGATAATAAAATTCACAAATGGTATAATTTGCATATAGTAGAACATTACCCAATATAGTATGCATCTTATATAAAAGTATAATTTTTACTATAAAGATGTAAGAAAAAAAATTATATAGAAACTTGCTTTTTAGATCTACTTTCTAAATTTAGCAATGTGTAAGAAAGATAATTAGTTAATGATTAAAGAATATATAAGAAGAAAAGTTACCTTAAATATTCTAATTGATTACCACATATTGATTTTGAAAAGTATGTCTAATTTTTGGATTAGAATAGCAATTTTGATTTTCGTAAGAGACGCACATAATAATTTTACCATTCAGAACTTTCATCACAAAAATCGTAAGTTTTTTTTACCATGTGCAAGTTGCACATTATAACATTTCCCAAAATATTTTAATGTCACTACTTGCAAAAATTATCACATTAATTAGGAAGACAGTGTGACTATATGCTCATTCAATGAGATACTATCATTTCTTCATCCTTTTAATTTATTAGAAATACTGCCAACTTAAAATTCTTTAAAGACAAAATAATTACTCCACTACTCTGGAATATAAGGGTCATCAAAGCAAATCTAAATTAAGCTCCATCCCGTTGGGTAAAAACAAGAAAAAATTATTAAGTGAAATGTTCCTTTAGTCTTTGTAGTTTTAATTTGTATAATTTAAATCTTACATTTTCAATTTGGTTCCAATATAATTCCTCCGTCATTTACAGTTAGAATTTGTAACGAAAAAAGACCATGTACAAAATTAGGACTCACCTTGATCCCTCTAATTTTAGACACGATTTTTTTCGTTTAAAATGTTAACAGCACATGATGAATAAGCCACATCGTAACAAAATTAAAAGTGTAGGATTTAAAGTATTCGCATTAAAATTACAATGATCAAAGTAAAACTTTATTCAAACTAGAGGAAACAGTGGTACAATTTACCGAAAATTTTACAAGTAAAAATAATAATTAGATGATTAAAAAATAAGAGGTTACACACTTAGTGTGTTTTGCATTTTCTCATTACCAAAATTATTACTTAAGTTTGTGTAACAAAGTTGTTCCATACTAAATAATTTTCCCAACCGGCTGGATCTTGGACCAACATTGAAGTAGAGTTATTTAGGGATTTGTAGAAGTAAAGACGTACTTACAAGTCAAGTCAAGCTTCAAACTCTATGTCCTAGGCTCTGTCCAAGCCTTGTTGGAGTTGAGTCCACCTATCCAAAATAAGAGCTCATGTTCGGTAAAAGCCCATCAAATTGTGAGTCTTCAAATTGGGAGTCATCAGGTCAAATGATGACCCTTAATACTCATAATTTTGTTAAATTACGAATATTTTAAGACTATGGGACAAATACATCAACCAAAAAAAAAAAAACAAAAGACTATGGGACAAACATATTTGAAGATTGAGAATGCTTGGTCATCAAAGAGAAGCTAAAGATAAGAAAAAATAATTAATAAATAAATTTAAATAATGGGTAAGAACGCTTGAAAGGCCTTGATAGATCTAGTATCAGTAATATTAAAGCCTCAATATGGTTTGGCCATGCACATAAATCACATGTAACCTCCTCTCTGTTCATCTTGACATATGAAACTCTGTCTTCTTGAGGTTTGACTTAAACAACCCACATGATTTGAGTAATTTGTTGAGATTTTTTTTTCTTTCATAAGTAGTTCACTATATCTTATTTGGTCAATTAGTTTATATGTTCATCATCAATAAACTAAGGGTTGTTTTGAAAAGTAAGTTAAAAGCTAACTTTTTTTTTTCTGTTTAAATGTATAAAAAAATAGAATGGTGATATGACTTAAAAATGTTAAAAGCCAAAAAGCTGGCTTTTAACCTCTTCCCAAAAGAGTTCTAAAAGTCCTTGATCAATCAACCTTCATTGTTAGTCAATCAAGATGATCGAATTTGTTAATATAATTGTATAGAGAGAAAGAGAAAAAGAGAAAGAGAAAGAGATAAATCTATATTATATTGAATTAATGTTAAATAATATTGTATATATAACTATTACAAGAGGTGTTTATATATAGGATTTATATGGAGTGTTAATCAAGAAACATAAGAATAAAGAAACTTATAGAATTATGAAAACTTAACAAATATGGAAAATAATATATTCTTAATAAATGAGAGTTTGTTTTGTACGGCGAACGAAAGAGCTTGCTAGGGGCGGTTGAGAAGAGTCCGTTGCTAAGACAAATGATAAGGGCTTGTTAAGGGCGATTGAGAAGCGTGTTCACTGTGAGAGGGGCCTTGGGAGGTGATGTTGAACGGCATGTTCATTGTGAGAGTAGGGGCGAAGCTAGAAAATTTATTCAAGAGGGGCCAAAGTAAGTGTTGAAAAAAGTCCCCATGCACAAAGTTTTCAACATGACAGAATTTGGAAAGATCGAATATACACAATCTTATTCTCATGTGGAGAAACTGTTTCTGTGATTTGAATTCATAACGCCTATGTAGCCTTAGGGACAAGCTAAGTGTAAAAAAATGATAAAATAAATTCTTACATAAGAAATTTAAAAATAATAATAAATTAATATGTATTAGTCATTTTCTAATAGTTATTTAATTATTTCATACAATTTTTGAGTTATCTAGTTAATATCTTAAATTAGACTATAATTTATTGCACCCCATCATTGATAAATAAATTCTCCATTTCTAACTATTTTGTAATTTCCCTTTTGAAATATAAAAGTAGTAGAATTTAAAACAATAATAAAAAATAATTAGAGGGATCATCTTCATCTGCATTGTAAAATTAATCTTGAATATAGAAAGCCTTTCCATATAAAATATTAGAATAATTTTAGAATTAATAGGCAATAGTGTAATTTTGAAGAATTTAGGAGGGGGGGCCATGGCCACCTTTGGAATTGATATAGCTCCGTCATTGTGTAAAAGGGCCTTGGGAGGCGAAAATTTTGATCTGGATTCAAATCTAGATTAAATGAGTGGAAGACTAAGATTTGACGACTGCAGTGGATGCGGTGGTTAATCGGTTGCTGGAGGTTGGGAGTAACACATATATGTGTTGAAACTCCAGCAGACAGTGGAGACATGTTGCCAATCACTCGCCCACCGGTGAACTAAGAAGACAGGCCGAATTATAGCTCTGATACCAAGCTAAGATAATTGTATAGAGAGAAAGAGAAACAGAGAAATATGTATTATATAAAATTAATGTTGAATAATATTGTATATACACTACAAAAAAATGTAGCTTATGGTGGCGCTAGTATCAAGGTGTTTTAAAAAATGTTGTGATATATCTCAATCGGCAAACGCACTTTCCAAAACGTGATATCACCTAAATTAATAAAATGCCTTTTGATAGTCCCAATGATCTAAATCTATTTAACTTAATAAAGACTCAACCCCATATCTATTCAAACCTTTCCAATTACCAAATATAATAGATCAAAAATAACACAACTCGAATGGCTCTCTCTCTCTCTCTAAAATAGTTCTCTCTCACTAGCCCTAAGGAGTTATGGATGCAACTAGCAATGAAGATTTCCTAGAGTTTATAGATCTACAGAGAGATAATGCTTTTAATCTCAACGATTTCTTATTCAATCTAGATCTCGATTTCAATTGGTGCACTAGGTCTTAGGATTTGATATTTTCGTTTGAGATTTTTCGATTTCCCTTAATCTTTACAGATCTAGGTCTTCACTTTTTATGGATTCATGTATCCAATCACTCTTGATTTGGAGTTGCTGAGTTCACTTGAGATACAGAGCTTTCATGGTAGCAATCTTGATTTCACATATGGTCAAATTTATTATTGAAAATTATTTTATTTACATTTGATTAGGGTTTTGATTTTTATTCTAGGGCTTGTTTTTTATCGAGTCTGATTTAGACTTGCTGTGAGTTCACTCAAGATTCAGAGATTTTTTCATCACTACACGGTAACGATCTGGATCTGTGTTCCATTTACATAACTCCTGCTTAGGTTTCGATTTTCATGGGCAATCTAGGTCCTCATCTCTTCCGTAAATGATGGCTTGAGCTTGGTTTGAATGATTTGGATCTGATCTAGGGTTATGTTTCTCTCATGTATGGTTG